TTTGAGTTGGAGTCTCACTCTGTCACTCAGACTGGACTGCAGTGACACACTCCCAGCCACCGCAGCCTCAACCTGCAGGGCTCCGGCGATCCTTCTGCCTCAGCCTTCCAGGTAGCTGGAACTACAGGTGCGCACTACCATGCCCGGCTAATTTATGATTTATTGTAGAGATGAGGTCTTGCCAAGTTGCCCAGGTGGGTCTTGAACCCATGGGCCCAGGCAATCCACTCACCTCAGCCTCCCAAAGCTAAATTGTATTTTTAAGTAACCTTTTTTAGGTTGCAAATTTCTGACTGGACTCTTAAAGTTCATAGTTCTGAGCAGCATTTTTGATTTCCCAGTTAGACTCTACACTAAGTACTTAATGACCACACTAATGGAACACGGCCCACAAGTGTATATGTGTGTAGGTATATATGTAAGTCTATACGCTTACAGGCCCACTATTTACATATATACATATTGTACATGTAATGCCAATAAGCATCATGTATTAACAGTTCTGGTTCTAATGATACAAGTGTTTCACATATATTCTTAGATTATATCCAGTTTCTCGAAGAGCTATCAATATTATAATTTTGAGGCAGTTTACAGGTACTTCTGAGTACATGGTATTTTTTTTCTTTTTTTTGAGTTGGAGTCTCATTCTGTTGCCCAGGTTGGAGCACAGTGGCACGCTCACTGTCACCATAGCCTTGACCTGCTGGGCTCAGGCAATCCTTCTGCCTCAGCCTTCCAAGTAGCTGGAACTACAGGCATGTGCCAGCACACCTGGCTAATTTTTGCTTTTTGTAGAGATGAGGTCTTGCCAAGTTGCCCAGGCTGGTCTCGAACCTGTGGGCTCAGGCAATCCTCTCACCTTGGTCTCTCAAAGTGCTGGTATATAGATGTGAGCCACTGTGCTGGCCTACATGGTATTTCTAAGTAAACTATTGTTCAAAAACTACTTATCACCTTATACCTAAGCATATCCTGATTAAGCAACGTGGAGAAGTGAAGGATGGAATGGAACTGCCTTTTCGTGTCTAGAGGGTGAGGAAAAAATGAAGTTGTTCTACTTTTGCTGCTGCTGCTGCTCAGGTACTGATTCACCCGGGCAACTTAGCAAGACCTCATCTCTACAATAAATTAAAAAAAAATTAGCCAGGCATGGTAGCACTCACCTGTACTTCTGGCTACTTGGAAGGCTAAGGTGGAAGGATTGCCGGAGCCCAGCGGGTCCAGGCTGCGGTGGCTAGGAGCATTCACCAGATGGCCTCCAAACTTGGATACGTGTGCTCCCACATCTTAGAGCCCTAGCAATTTCAGTGGCCTCTTTGCATGTTGGTCTCTGGGTTTTCCCTTCTCCACATCCTAAAAGGCCTTGTTTCCTTTTAGGCCAGCCAGGCTGAGGCAGCTTTTCTTACATGGTGAACACAGGGCTGGAAGCGCAGGACAAGGTCGTAGAACTGAGACAGTCAGAAAGGAAAGGGTGGCAGGGAGTCATGACATGCTCCTTCTCAAAGAGGCAAGCTTCCAAAGGGACAGCGCCTTGAGGGATGTAAGATGAACCCACCAGATGTGCTTCAAATCAAACCAGAAAGATGAAGAGGTGTCACCATAGGGTTCTCCAGCAGAGACTTGTCCCCCAGATTCCTGGGCCTCCTCGAGGGCCCATCATGCTCTGCTGGACCGACACAGGGACCTGAGGAAGCAGGTCTAGAAACACCATAGTGGGCCTGCAGACTCGTGTGTGCACCCAGGGTGTGTCGAGCATCCCAGCCTCCAGGGCAGCTGCTTTCCACCTTTTCTTCCACCAGGATGATCCTGCCACCTCAGCAGAGATGACTACATAGTGAGATGGCCTCATGATGGATACTTCCAGCATGCTCTCTGTAACTTCATCTCCTTTCTTTCACTGGTCCCTAGCACAACAACTCTGCCCCAGAGGCCACCAGAATCCCCAGACTTCCTGCCTATAAAGGATATCCATGGAATAGTCCCAAATTGCAAGCAACTTAAAAATAAAGTTACAGGTGCCTTTAGAAAGCATTGTGCAATTTCAAAAACTTGGGTTTTTCTTCCTAGTTACATTTTTGCCTTCACCTTGGCATTCAATAATCTGCATTTTCTTGAGTACAGGCAGGCTGAGCAGAGAGGTACTTGAACACTGCTAGCAGGGAAGCTGGCCTGGTATAAAAGTGACACAGATGAGCCACAAAGACAAACCTGATGGGTTAATAATTACAAGTTGGTTACACACACCATTCTTATTGTTTCACCAAAGCCACCTGCATATTTCCTTCTGAATTACTCTACTTCTTACTCTGTGATTCTTCTATCACTGGCATTTCCTGGTCCTGAGATGTCTTGCACATGCTGTGACTAACCTGCACACACGCTCAGATCCTGAAACAAAACAATGATTTCTCTAATGTTTTCTGACTTTGGAAAATTGTAAGTTCTAATCGGAAGGTATTGTTCAAGTAAGTTATGAATCAGGAAGGCTTAGTGTACTGTAAAAGATTACCTGGCTTTAATCCTAAGCCACACAAAGAACAGGTAACTGTGATGTAGAGACCAATGTTATTAGGATAATTGGACAGAATTCCCTGAATATATATATTTTTTTAAGTTGGAGTCTCACTCTGTCACCCAGACTGGAGTGCAGTGGCATGCTCCTAGCCACCGCAGCCTAGACCTGCTGGGCTCCGGCAATCCTTAGCCTTCCAAGTAGCCAGAAGTACAGGTGCGCGCTTCCATGCCTGGCTAATTTTTAAAAATGTATTGTAGCGATGAGGTCTAAGTTGCCCGGGTGGGTCTCAAACCCGCAGGCTCAGGTAATCCACTCACCTTGGCCTCCCAAAGTGCTGGGATTACAGGCTGAGCCACCAAGCCCAGCCATTTCCTGAATATTTTTAGGGAACATCTTTCTGGCATCTGTGGATGTTCTCTAGGGTAAGCTACTTTCCAGAGAACCAAGTGATAATGGTATTCAGGCTTTCCTAAATAAATTTCCTGAGGACCTACCTCAGCGTTAAAAGACCAAATGTTCTAAATATCTCCTGAAGATGCGTGAAATATAATACTGGGAATGGAGAACAAATAGATGACACATGCTGTAGCCAGCAGCATCCGTGATGTAACTGACAGGAATCCAAATGCTGCCCTTAGCCACAAAGCACAGCTAGCACTGTGGTACCTAAGTTAGCATTAGAAAGACAGGTGGCCATTTTCTTGATTTGACCCACCTCAAGAACAAGTCCAATGGCAGGTCTTTTCAAGATTTTACTTGTAGAGAAGAAAGTAGTAAAATTTTCTCCCAGTTCTTATGATTTCATTTTCATTATTTGATACAGGGTCTTATACTGTCGCCCAGGGTAGAGTGCGATGGCATGATCATAACACTGCAGCTTTGAACTTTTGGGCTCAAGCTGGGACTACAGGCATGCAACACCACGCCTGGCTGATTTTTCAATTTTCTGTAGTAACAGTCGTGCTATGTTGCCTAGGTTGTTCTCAAACTTTTGGGCTCAAGTGAGCCTTTCATCTCGGCTCCCCAAATTGCTGGGATTATAGGTGTGAGCCAAGTGCTTGCTTGTATTTTTAGGGCTTATGATCTGTAGATGTTTTCCTCTTTATAGTTATTGAGAGGAAACTATACAAAACATTCCCACAAGACAACCTAACATTTTATAGAGTTTGTTTCTGGTCACACAGATTCCTGTTGTAGAAGTTCTTCACTTGTTTTACTTTCACTATTTTCATCTTCATTTGAATAATTTCCCGAATCTTGACTAGTTTGGGAATCGTATTTTTTGTGATCTTCATCAATTTGGTAAGTTTCTTCTACTGTAGTAATTGTATTTATATTTTCAATTATAAAACATCTTTCAGTTTGTTCCTCAGATGTTGAAAGCAGAAGATTCTTTAATGGCTGTTCAGTGAAATACTAATTTTAAAAGGGAAAGAATGGAAATGGATTACTTAAAACAATAAAAATTTGTTTTCCAGTTATAATATCTTTAGTTTCTTATGTCCATTATTTAGAAAACCTACCTTTTGGCACGCATATTAAAACACTGGCTAAAAGCATACCAACTGCATGATAATATTTATAACAAAATCATCAATAGTGAGGTTACTTAGATCTTAGTATCTTTTCTGCTGATTCTATGAGGAATACCTAAGAAAGGTGCCCTGTGCTCTCAGGGGTAGGGTGTGGAAAAACACGGGAGAGGACAAAGAGGGGAGCACTGGGATCATGATAATTTTATTGATTGACTGATTAATGTTTTTTTTTTTGAGACAGAGTCTCACTCTGTCACCTAGGCTGGAGTGTAGTGGCACGCTGCTCACGGTCCCCAGTCATGGCCTGCTGGGCTCTGGCGATCCTTCTACCTCATATTATAGTGATGATAAATTATAATAGTTGCTTAGAGGAGCAAGTTGCCCAGGCTGGTCTCAAACTCTTGGAGTCAGGCAATCATCTTGCCTCTACCTCCCAAAGTGCTGGGAATACAGGTGTGAATCTTATTTTGAAATAATAAAAATTTTTGTATCCAATCCATAGATATTCAGAAGAAGCACAAGTGAGATATTACTTTTTTCCTGTTCATCTAAGAATAATTAGCTGTTCCAACTAGCTAGTTTGTTTGTTTTTGAGTCAGAGTCTCACTGTCGTCAAGGCTGGAGTGCAGTGGCACACTCAGGCCATTGCAGCCTCGATCTGCTGGGCTCAGGTGATCCTTATGCCTCAGCCTTCCAAGTAGCTGGAACTACAGGTGCGTGCCAACATGCCCAGCTCATTTCTTGATGTACTGTAGAGACGAGGTCTCACCAAGTTGCCCAGGTTGGTCTTGAACCCCTGGGCTCAGGCAATCCTCTCACCTCTGCCTCCCAAAGTGCTGGGATTACAGATGTGAGCTACTGTGCCTGGCTAACAACTAGCTAGTTTGAAATCTATTTTAAATAGTAGCTATGAATATTTTAATACATAGGAATGATATTTTAAAATTCAGGGGTATACGTTACTATTTACTATAAATAGTTACTGTTTACTGAGCATGTTCAGAGCACTAAGGTTTTTATGGTTTATTTCATTTGTGTCTCACAACTCTATAAGGTGGCATTATAGGCTCCATTTTATAGCCTAAGGGATTTGCTCAAGTTCATAAAAGCCACCCTTGGTGAACACATCATTCCCTGGGCACAGATTCTACGCTTAGGCCGTCACCAGTTAGTACTGTCATTAAGCATGTTAATTTCGTAGGCTTGCCTAACAAAATACTGTGATGTGTCATAAAAACAGACCGCGTATGTTTTCAGTTATTTCATCTTATGTGATCTCATCCAGAGACTATACTTTCTAAACTCATAACATTTCAGTCTTTTGGAAAAACACATAGATGCTCTTCAACTTATGATGGTGTTATGTCCTGAAAAATCCATTGTATGTAAAAAATATTTTAAGTTGGAAATGAATTTAATGTCCCCATAAATCCATCACAGAGTTTAAAAATGATAAGTTGAACCATCCTAAGTCAGGACTGTCTGTATTGCGAAGAATCACAACTTTAAATGGTGAAACAAATACCACAGTAAATCTATGAATTGCCAGAAAAAGATGAGATTAAGGACAAACCTTACTATCCCAAGCTATGAGATTAACTGTTTCTAGAGTTAATTTACAAATACTTTGAAGAAAAAAATAACTAACCAAATCAGTCTCTACTATTTTCTGGATATTGAGAAAACTTATGTATTCTGTGAAATTCAAGCATATTTTCTGTTCATTTCCTAGCAGCTGACCAAAAACAAAAAGTAACATACCTTATCAATATTGGAAGAAGATTTAAGAGACGGAAAGAACACATAATTGATGCATCTCAGGAGGCCTTTCACAACGTAAATGACAACCAGGATAGAAAATAATGTAGAACAAACTACAGTTATCAGCCAGATTTTAGAAACATTTCCTAAAAACACACAGATGATGGTCAGTGTCAATATATGTCTTGACATACAAATGTCTTAGTAGTGCTGACAACTTGTGTAAAAGACTAGGCATATATAATAGAAAATCTATTAAATAATATCCATAAAAAATATTTCCTGGGTCGGACATGGTAGCTCATGCCTGTAATCCCAGCATTTTGGAAGGCTGAAGCTAGAGGCTTGCCTGAGCCCTGGTATTCGAGACCAGCCTGGGCAACATGGAGAGACCTCATCTCTACAATAAATCAAAACATTTGCTGGGTGTGAAGGCGAGCACCTACAGTTCCAGCTACTTGGAAGGATGAAGCAGAAGGCACATGTGAACCTGGCAGGTCAAGGTTGCGGTAGCTGTGAGCGTGTCACTGCACTCCAGCCTGGGCAACAGAGTAAGACACCAACTCAAAAGAAAAAAGAAAAAAAAAAAAAAAATATATATATATATATAATATATATATATATTTCTGGTAGCATCGAGTCCACAAGCACTGTGGGCAAGTGGGCAATGACATTTATAATGACTGGCCTGGGAACTGAAATGAGATCCTCAGAGGAAAATACAATATTGACAGCCTGAACATGCCACATTCTCCAACACTTCTTCAACATACAAGTAGTAAAATTTAAAAAATATTCTGTCACTAAGCCTCTACCAGCCAACACTAGAAACTGTAAAATACAAAATGAGACTAACCCAACCCAACATTAAAAAAAATTCACAATTGAGTTAATTGATTCTCGAATGATAATTATGTTAAGGATAGTATCAAAAATAACCAATAGTCTTATTAAATGCCAAACAGCAATAAAATAATGAAATTAATTATGAGGGCACTGGATGAAATAAAAAGCATCAAAAACTAAATTCAGAGTTAAGTATTGAACATATTTTCTATGTTCTTGAAATAGAACAGGAAAAAAAAAGGGGGAAAAAATTTCTAGCATCAAAAGACTTAGCTTAAAGGTCTACTTTTGATTCATGAAGTTCTATATATTTTTTGCAGTAAACAGAAAATATTTTACAATTTTCAATGTACAGCACTGGATTATGTTTATTACACCTAGTTCCATTTACAACACATGTAGAATAAAAGGCTCTGACCTGCTTTTGTTTTCGTGCACACCGTCTCACTAAAAACACTGCTGCTGTTCCACTTGACATCTATAAGCTGTGCTCTGGCTCTGATGCAATACACAGTCAGAGGTTTCAGGTTAGGAATAATAAAATCAGTTTCTTCTTCAAATTTTCTCTATAAAAATAGTTAAATCATTGATAAAATTTAGTTACTTTGTGAAATCAGATAGGGATACTGTATCTGTTTTCTCAATTCTTTTATATTCAACCTAGGAATGGCATCTCCCATTTAGTAGGTTTGCATTTAAGAAATATACATTTGCTTTATTTATTTACATATTTATTTCTATTTATTTATTTTTTGAGTCAGAGTCTCACTCTGTGGCCCAGGATAGAGTGCAGTGGCACGCTCATGACCACCGCAGCCTCGATCTGCTGGGCTCAGATGATCCTTCCAACCTCAGCCTTCCAAGTGGCTGGAACTACAGGCACGTACCATCACACCTGGATAATTTTTGTATTTATTATCGAGATGAGTTCTTGCCAAGTTGCCCAGGCTGGTCTTGAATCCGTTAGCTCAGGCAATCCTCTCACCTCAGCCTCCCAATGTGCTGGGATTATAGGAGTGAGCCACCACGCCTGGCCTATGTATTTATTTTTTAGAGACAGGGTCTTGCTCTGTTGCCCAGGCTTCAGTAGAGTGGTGCGATCGTAGCTCACTGCAGCCTCTAACTCCTGGGATCAAGTGATCCTCCTGCCTTAGCCTCCTGAGTAGCTGGGACTACTGGTGTGCATCACCACATCTGGCTAATTGCTCTATTTCTTTTTTTTGTAGAGATGGGGGTCTCTTTATGTTGCCTAGGCTGGTCTCAAACTCCTGGCCTCAAGCAATCCTCCCACCTTAGCCTCCCAAAGTACCAGGATTATAGGTGTGAGCCACTGCGCCAGGCCAAGAAACAGAAATTTGTTTTAGACATCCCATTATAACCAAATCAGAAAGTTAAAAATGCTGATGCCAAAAAAGCATATGACATTTTCCTACGATAATCCTAATTTATTTATACGTACATGCTGCTTTCGTTCAATCACCATTGTACTGTCTCTGATCAATGACAGAATGGCCAAGAGTAGGGGTTTGGGCCTTCAATTGCCTGTATTGAGAGGTATCATTTACAGCTGTGTGGCCTTGCACAGGTATTTCATTTCTCTGCATCTTATTTCCTGATCTGTAAACTGAGGACAATTGTTGCTTCTATCTGTATTAGTCAGCCATTGCCACAGTCATGTGTGAAAAACCACCTCAATATTCAGTAGCTCGAAACAGAATGATTGACTGTTCTCACTCTCAAGTCTACTGACTGGCTGGGAGTTCGTAATCGGGCTATAGAGCAGGCTGAGGTCTGCTCCACCAGCTCATGCTCCTTGGACCAGAGACTCTGGAATATGCTTTACTGGCAAACAGAAACAGCACAGGGGCCAAACCCCAAGAGCACATTGCTGGCCTCTACTCATACCGCCTGACGCCCAGGGACGTGGGGGATGAAAACTCTACCCCAACTACTTGCCAAATAGCAACTTAACTCATCACATCACTTGGCAGGATTATTCTGAAGAAAAACTGAGACGATTCATGTAAAATACTTAGCACAGTACCTGAGACACAATAAACATTCAGTAAAAGAGTTGCTAGAATTGTTCCTGTGGTATCCAGCATAGGACAGGATAGCAGCTACAATTTATTGAATCTCTGCTATTTGTCAGGCAGTGACTAGGGATTTTCATTATTTGTTACCTCATTTTAAACCTAATAGGCATCCTTTTGAAAAAGTTAGATGATATGATTATAACCACTTTTGAAAAGAGGAAACAAAATCTCAAAGAGGTAAAGCACTTTGCCTAAGTTCACACAGTTTGATAGAATGAGATGCAAATTTAGGTTTGTCTGATCCAGGGACAACTGAAAACGGATCATAATTCTCAACGGGCTAGATTATGTTATGGTTACAATGTTGCCAGACAGTTAAAAATGGAAGCAGCCAAGTCACTGAATTTGCTTAGATTTCAAACAGAAAATGAAGTTAGCTAATTTACTAACTTGACTGGCAATTTTTGTTGTTGCTGTTAGAGACAGGGTCTCGCTATGTTATCCAGGCTGGTTTCTAACTCTTGGACTCAAACAAATTTCTTGCATCAGCCTCCCAAAGTGGTAGGATTACAAGTGTGAGCTACCATGTATGGCCAACTGCCCAAGATTTTTAAAGGTCTGTCCTTGATTGTAATTGCACAAGGGAAAAGTGGTCTAGGAAACATGTGAATTAGCTGATGTTGTATATTATCTTTGTTAGTGGTTTCTGAATTTTAATGTTTAGACCAGTGTTTCTCAACCCTTTCTTCATGACTGTCCCAAGACATTTTAGACTTTTTTTTTCTTTTCTTTCTTTTTTGAGTTGGAGTCTCACCCTGTCACCCAGACGAGTGCAGTGGCCATTCCTGGCCACTGCAGCCTCGACCTGTTGGGCTCCGGCGATCCTTCCGCCTCAGCCTTCCAAGTAGCTGGAAATACAGGCGGGCGCTACCACGTACGGCTAATTTTTTCTGATTTATTGTAGAGATGAGGTCTTGCCAAGTTGCCCAGGCAGGTCCCAAACCCATGGGCTCAGGCAATTCACTCACCTCGGCCTCCCAAAGCGCAGGATTACAGGCTGAGCCACTGAGCCCGGCTAACATTTTTTTCCTAATTGCTCCCCTACCATGAAGTTAGAAACTAGCTAACTAAGGAAATAAGATTTTTTTTTGAGTTGGAGTCTCCCTCTGTTGCCCAGGCTGGAGTACAGTGACATGCTCATGGCCACCACAGCCTCTACCTGCTGGGCTCAGGTGATTCTTCTGCCCCAGCCTCCCAAGTAGCTGGAACCACAGGCGTGTCCCACTATGCCCAGCTAAGTTTTTGGTTTATTGTAGAGACGAGGTCTCGCCAACTTGCCCAGGCTGGTCTCTAACCCCTGGGCTCAGGCAATTCTCTCACTTCCATGCCTGGCCAGGAATAAGATTTTGTTGGGCAAAGTTGAACTCTGGGAGCATGCTTTCCTCCTAGAGGGCCACAAACTATTATAATATCTAAGATTCTTCTGCCCCAGAAGAATCGGGTTGTGTTTCCTTGGAGGTGCCACCAGGGGCCATTTCACAATGTCTGGAGATGTTTTGGGCTGTCCTAACTGGGAAGGAGTACTGCTGGGGCACCTGGTCGGGGGCAGAGGCCGGAGATGGTGCTAAGCATCCTGCAATGCGCAGGACAGCCCCTACAACAAGGAATTATCCAGCCCAAATGCCAATAGTGTTGAGAAACCCAGTTCAGATGAATACCTGGGAATCATGTTAAAAATACAAATTCCTGAGTTTTACCCCTAGCAGTCCTGATTCAGTAGCAATGGGCTCAGGAATCTATATACTTTTTAAAAGGAAACTGGGGCCCGGATGCAAGTCATCCATGATTCTACCATGCAAAACATGGACTAACAAGAATATTCTTCATACTGCAAATACATGAGTGGTCTTAAAGTTTAAAAATGTCCCCCAAGTCTTAAATTCAAGGTAAATTTATCCAAATCTTAGTTATAACTCCAAGTTATAAAATTATACTGTAAAATCTGTTTACCTCAGTATTTGAAGTGTTTTCCCAAAAACGAATTTCATAAATTAGTGGGTAATACTGGTTCACATGCTTGTTTTTTGGTTGTTTTGGAGAACCGATATAGACACGCAGTGAATCACTAATAGGCTTCATGTTAATGACTGGAGGAAGTACGATAGCTAGAAAAGATTTGTAGACATATCATTTCAATGAGAAAAACAATTTTAAGAATGTGAACCAAATTGGAGAACTAAAATCTCTAGCAAAACTTATTGCCTTACTTTGTTCTTCAGCATCAAGTCTTTTCTCTTCAGACCAAAGAGTTGTATTATTTCCATTAGATGCTTGTACACGGAGAAAGTAAGTTCCTTTTGGGAAAGTACTTTGAAGAAAGACACAGTGGGTTGTTTTGACATTTTCACAGTCAGGTATTTGTTTCCATTTACGTAAATGGTTCCTGGGATTCTTTTTTGTAAAGGCACTTTTAAGACAGAAAAAAAAAGTTTTAATTCAAACATATCAATTCAATAAATATTTCTTGCATACCTACAATATGCCAGATACCCTGTTAGAGGCTAAGTTTACAGAAATAAACAGTACCCCACCCTCAGGAAACTAACAACACAATGGAAGAGATATGTATCTAACACAAAAGAGAACCAAAGATTGCCCAGACTGTGGTAACAAGTAGTAGTAGAGGTGGCTCTGTTCAGTGTGGAAAAATAACTGTTAAATTTTCAGGCATGTTGCAAGTTGATTTGCAAACAAAACAATTATTAAAAATTAAACTAGAGGGCAACCTCCTCGGGTCCCCTCCCACCATGGGAGCTTTTCTGTCCTCTCAATAAATCCTGCTTTAGAACCAAACCAACCAAACCAAACCAAACCAAAACAAAACAAAACTTTCAAATAAAAAACCGTATTAAATACAAAGGTAATAAACGCTCAAAATGTACCTTGTCCTAACTGTCTGCATGTATTCTATTATCGATGCTCTTGAGGCTATTTATATCTACTGTAGCTGTGGGGGGGAATACCATTCAGTGGTGTGTCACCGTGCCGATCTTCCCAACTTCATGCTCAGGGACACCAGGCTGGTAGCTTGACGGTGGCCATGGGGGGAATATATACAGCACAAAAAACAGCAAATACTACAAATAAGACATTTCCTTTCCAGAAAGCCAGTTGCTAAACATGTACCAGCACACCGAGTAAGTGCTAAAATAGAGCTTCACACCGCAGCAGTTTGAGAGCATCTAAATGAAGCATGGGCACCTTACCGAGACTAGAGAGGTTAAATAACTTGCTCAGACCAACTGCTGAAAGCATGGCAGTTCAAGCCCAGAACTACGAAAGCCTCCTAACTGGCTGCCTTGTCTAGTTCCTCCTTAGTCTATTGCCCTATGTACAATGTCGCCATATATACCCTGCTCAAACGTGTCTCAGGTTACCTATCAAACCAACACAAATCCCCCAAAGCCTGTAGGGCAGCCTGAGGCTGAGCCTAGTCCCATCCTACTTAATCAACTTTCTCTCTCATCGTTCCCTCATGCCCAAATGTTCTGCTACCGTAAAAGGATATCCTCTCCCACTGGAGTAGGCATAATTCTTACATTGCCTTCAAGATTCCTGCCCCCTGTATACACATCCTGTATAATCTTCTCCCCTTGAGTTTGGGCAAAACCTGTAAACATGATAGGCACCCTCCTATGATAAGGCTGCACTAAAGGCAGATGGGAAGGAATTTTACAGATGTAATTAAAGTCCCAAATTAGTAGATGCCGGGTTAAACGAGTAACTATCCTGGGAGGGCTTTACCTAATCAGATAAGCCCCTTAAAAGAGGGTCTTGAAGCACACTACCAGGAGTTCTACAGCTGCAAGAAAGGGATTCTGCCAACACATGACTTAGGAGAGGACCCTGAGTCTTTTATGAACTGACACTTAGATTGCTTAACAGGAGACCCAGCTAAGCCATGATTGAACTCCTGATTCACAGAAACTTAGAGGCAACAAACAGCTGTTTTTTAAAGCTGCAAAGTCTTACAGTAATTTGCTACAGAAATAGAAAGCTAACATCTCATACTTGTCTACTTAAAAAAACACTGAATTAAAAATCAAGGCCTTGTTCATATCTCATCTCCTTCCAAAGGGCTTTTTGATCTCTCTAACCCTTATGCACCTTTACATTTTCTGTTTCTTTTATTTCTTGAGTTGCAGTCTCATTCTGCCGCCCAGGCTGGAGTGCAGTGGCACGCTGACGGCCACCGCAGCCTCGACCTACTGGACTCAGGCGATCCTTCCGCTTCAGCCTTTCATGTAGCTGGAACTACTGGCACGTGCCAACATGCCCAGCTAATTTTGCCCAAGTTGCCCAGGCTGGTCTCGAACCCGTGGGCTCAGGCAATCCTCTCATCTCAGCCTTCCAAAGTGCTGGGATTATAGGCGTGAGCCACCGTGCCCAGCTTGTAATTCTTATAATTTGTATACCATACCTTAGTCCTACGTCACACAACACTGTGCAATGTAGCTGACGGCCTGGGATTTCCAGAACCACATGCTTTATTCTGTTGCACCCTTACTTCTCTTTGGTGCTTTCTGCAGTGCGCTAAGTACCAAATGAAGTTGAGAGACCAGCCATCAGAAATACCCATTAGCTGGGTTCGGTGGCTCAGCCTGTAATCCCGTGCTTTGGGAGGCTGAGACGAGTAGACTGCCTGAGCCCGTGGGTTCGAGACTTGCCTGGGCAACTTGGCGAGACCTCATCTCTACAATAAATCAAAAAATTAGCTGGGCATGGTAGTGCGCGCCTGTAGTTCCAGCTACTTGGAAGGCTGAGGCGGAAGGATCGCCAGAGCCCAGCAGGTCGAGGCTGTGGTGGCCGGAGCGACCACTACACTCCAGTCTGGGCGACAGAGTGAGACTCCAACTCAAAAAAACCAAACCAAAACAAAACAGAAATACCCATTATTACCTATTCTCTGGCCCTACTATCGATACACTTCTGAAAGTGCAATATAACAAAAGATCACAACACCAACAGCTTCCTGATCAGTCTGTGGGTTACATCTGTACTGTGGGGCACACAAGCATGTGAATGAGTTCTATCTTACCAGCCACCCTTGGTGCAAAATTAACACTAAACAATGGAGAAAAATGGATCATAGTAGTATATATATTTGTTTCCATCCCTTTCCCCCCCGTAACCCACTTTTCTTTCCACTTTATTTTCCTTTTCTCTTCTCCCTCTCTAATCATCCCTTATAATTTTCCAAACCATATAAACTATAGGCAGATCTCTTTCATTGATTTTTAATATTTTTTTAGATATGAGGTGTTGGGGGCCTCTCACTAGGTTCTCAGTTTGAATTGCAGTGACGTTCACAGATGTGATCACAGCGCACGGCAGCCTTGACCTCCTGGGCCCAATCAATCCTCCCACCTCAGCCTCCTGAATAGCTGGAACTTCAGGCGTGTGCCACCATGCCCCGCCAGTTCTCATTTATTTAAGCAGTACCTAGATTTCACGCATATTTGGCTAGCCAACCACACAGAACATAGTACTCTCCAACTTTCTTTAATTTCCCACTATAGTAATCACTAACAAAATGTGCCAAAACCACTAAAGTAATAAAGGAAAGGGAAGGCTGTCAGACTGAATGGACTGAGATTATTTCAAGGACTCATAGAAGTGAGTTCCAAGAAAAGATCAGGCCCAAGTATTAAGTGTCAAGTACTCCAGACTGAGGAAATAAGACATGCAATTAGTCACATGTCTTAAAAAAAGCCAGTAAGAACCCTAGATCTCAAGATACATCTCAGAGACACACGGAGGCTAAGCGATGGGCTCAATGTCATCCAGTTAGTTACTAGCAGAACCGAGGCTAGAATTCAGTTTCCTGAGTTTCCAATATATCACACCCACCTTTCAGCCAGTCATTCTGTCTCTAAGGAGCTGCAGGTGGCTGAAGCAGAAGGACAAAAATCATGATCAAAACAAACTGTGTACAAGAAAATCTACAGAACAGAACTTACTGGAGCCATTGAACTTGAAAGGTCATGTTTGCATATGGATAATCCCACTTAAGAACATAGCTCTCATTTTGAACGTCGACTTTAAGATTTTCTGGTCGAGGCAGTTTATCTTCAGCTAGAATCCAAAGAATACATAAAACAGCGTACATTTGTAATTTGGTGTGATAATATATGGCAAGAATTCTTAACAGCACGGGCAAAAAGATGAAGGCTTACATTTATCATCATAAAGTAATGGTTGCATAAGTTATGGTTTATATTCACACAATGTAATACTATGCAGTCATTTACAAGTGCAGTTTTTTGGGGGACAGGGTCTTGCTCTAAATACATAAATAAAATAAAAGAATGCAACACATCTCTATGAACTGATATGGAATGATATCCTCAATATATTGGGTTAAATGAGGAAGTTGCAAAAATACATCTAGCAGGATTTTATTTTTTAGCTTAAAAAACAAAACCCAAACAACTGTGGGTCTATTGCTTATATAAGCTCTGAAAAAATGTATGAAAGAATCTACACAAATTGCTAAGCAATGCTCATCTCTGGCAAGCAGAACTGGGGGTAAGAAGGCAGGAAAGGAAAGGACTTCACTTTAAACCTTTCTGTACAGTTTGATTTAAAAAATAAAGCACACTAAATTTATAATTAAACTAACAGGCCAAGTGTGGTGGCTCATACCTGTAATCCCAGAACTTTGGGAGGCAGAGGCAAGAGGACTGCCTGAGCCCCCAGGTTTGAGACCAGCCTGGGCAACTTGACGAGACATTGTCTCTACAATAAAATTAAAAAATTAGCCAGGTGTAGTGGCATGTACCTGGAGTTCCAGCTACTTGGGAGGTGGAGGCAAAAGGATCGCCTGAGCCCAGCAGATCGAGGCTGCGGTAGCAGTGATTGTGCCACTGCACTCCAGCCTGGATGACAGAGTGAAACTCCAACTCAAAAAAAAAAAAAAAAAAAAAAAAAGCAAACAAGTCCCAGCTCCCACCCTTGACCTTACTTATTGGCAAGGTGTCACTGCCTAAATGTGTCATGATGCTTTCATGTTTTAACATTTCATTGATAAAGGAATACTTTTTGGAAGACTAACCATCTACTAGCAACTAACTACCATTCCCCCCCTTGCAGAAATCAACAGTTCAGCTAACTCCCGTTTTTGTGGATTCTGAAAAAATGAAAAGTTTTTGTCATTAAAAAATATTTGGACTTTTAGATAGAATTAATTTTCATTATTATTTACTTGTAACCATTTTTTTGCTTATATACGAGGTCTGACAATTCAGTTTGTGAACTTGCCACTGTGTGCTTCCACTGGCAGCATTGTAAAACAACTCAGGTATAGTTCCATAACCTTGGTATATCACTGCTTCACAGTTGTGTTTGTGTTGACATGTGATGGTGTCTTGCTGAGTGGTGGTCATGACTGTTGTTGCACATTTTTGTGTGCCATCATGAGATTGTTAGAGCTTGAATTAGAGCAAGAAACAAACATGAAATTTCTTGTTAAACTTGGCAAGAGTGGAAGTGAAATCAGGGACATGTTGGTTCAAGTTTATGGGCATAATGCCACGAAAAAAATGGCAGTGTACAGATGGATTAAATGTTTTCTGAGAGAAAGCGTCACTGATAAAGAGGTCAGGATGGCTGGTAATGAGCAAAACTAATAAAAACATTGCAAATTCCACCAAATTATGTGTCAAAATCATCGGCTGTGAGAAGCATAGCAAACCAAACAAACATTGAGAAACAGTTAGGAAAATCTTGGCATGAGGAAGGCGTGTGCAAAAATGGTCCTGAAGGAGCTCTTGCATCACAACAATGCACCAGCTCACACAGCAATGTCTGTGAGGGAGTTTTCAGCCAGTAAACAACTAACTTTATTGGAACATAGTTATTCCCTAATCACCTGATCTGGCCCCCATTGACTTTTTCTTTACCCGGAGATAAAGGAAATATTGAAAGGAAGACATTTTGATGACATTCAGGACATCAAGGGTGATATGATGACAGCTCTGACGGCCATTCCAGAAAAAGAGTTCCAAAATTACTGTGATGGGTGGACTACGAGCTGGTGTTGGTGCATAGTTTCCCAAGAGGAGTACTTCAAAGGGGACCACAGTGATATTCAACAATGAGGTATGTAACACTTTTTCTAGAACGAGTTTGTGAACTTAATTGTCACACCTCATAAATGTTGTTAATAATGCTTTTGTTTTAATACCTATTAAACTGTCAGATAAGCTTCAGCAAATATGGGATAAATGCCAAAATTAATATACTATCAATCTGTATATACAGTTATTAACTCTAAAGCAAAGTGTCCTTCTTACCTGTGGTATTTATACAATATACTTGACTATAGACACCAACTTTAACTGGCAGCAAAAGTAGGCTTGCTCTAACTTTTAAACAATAAGTAGTCTCTGGTGAGAGTTTATGAATTTTACTTCCGGGATAAATATCTTCAGTCCTGCTCTATAATAAAAAAATAGAAGTTGGTTCTTTAAAAAAGCATAAAGTCAGATTTTAGAATTAATGCACCTCATTTTTCTTTCTCATCAATTAAATGAAGGTAAAAATATGCTTACTTCTCCACTTGAGTTGTTCCAGAAAACTAAGCTATAGACAAAGCTTGAAATATCCAAACCCCACATGGTACTATCAACTGTTCCAGGAGGAGAGATGTTTACTATTATGGCCTTATCTTCAGCTTCTAAACGTACGTCTGGAGGACCAATTTGAGCTGTAAAAGTCATAACAATTATCATGTAACTTTATTTACTACAACGCCTGAACATTCATTCAACAAATGATTCTGAGTGCTTCACATGTGCCTGTCACTTCTGGGAGTTGAGAGCATCTAGATGGTCTCGAAAGCCAGAAGACAACCAGCGGGGTGAGTCCAGAAGGAGAAGAGGCTCAGCGACTGAGCCCTGTGCCAGCCAACACGGAAAGTCTGGGAGATGAGAAGAAACTGGTACTGGAGCTACCGAGGAACAGAAGGAGAACCAGGAGGAGCAGTGTCGCAGAGATCCAGCAAAGTAAGCGTTTCAAGAAACGCTAAGTGATGAAGAAGAGGGCTGGGAATTCAGATGGCGTGAAACCACTCACCGCGCCACACATCAAACAGCCTCCTTTGAAAAACTCCACGGTGTATACAGAAGACAATGAAAACAAAAAAGGCAAATCAGTCTAAGAATGATCATAAAAATAGTTGTGTCTTTATGGACCCTCTGAAAGGGATGTAAGGATCACTTTTTTGAAACCACTGCTCTGAGAAAAGCTGGAAAATGGGGCCGTAGTAGGAGAAAGACAGAGGTTTACAGGAATCTTTTTTTTTGAGTTGGAGTCTCACTGTGTCACCCAGACTGGGGTGCTGTGGCCACTCCCGGATACTGCAGGCTCGACCTGCTGGGCTCCAGAGATCCTTCTGCCTCAGCCTTCCAAGTAGCTGGGACTAGAGGCGCGCGCTACCATGCCCAGCTATTTTTTTTTTTGATTTACTGCAGAGATGAAGTCTCGCCAATTGCCCAGGCGGGTCTCGAACCCGCAGGCTCAGGCAATCCACTCACCTCAGCCTCCCAAAGCACTGGGATTACAGGCTGAGCCACCGAGCCCGGCTGGAATCTTTTTTTTAATGGAAGATGTTACATCATGCAAATGAACGGCTTGGAAAGGGAACTGGTCTGACACTATTTACTAAGGAAAGTATTTCAGCTAGCAACTTTTTCTTACCTTTTTGAAATGGTATAAATGAGTCAACCTCATACCATGAAGAAGTGTTGTTTCCTTTTTCTGCTCTTATACGCAATTTAATTTCTTCATAAATATCTTTCAGCTTTAGTGAAGAAAAGTTGCATTCAGTACTAGTAATATATTGACACCCAGGCAATTCTATCCAATTATCCGTCCTAGATCTTTAAAGTAAAAAAGCAAATGAATAAATGAGCATATGCAAAAGCACAAAAGAACATTCAATACATTTTCAATTTACTAATATTATAAAGCTAGGCTAAGTCGTTATTTCTTCTATTTGAGTTACTGTCCTGTTAACATTTTAGTATACAACCTTTCACTATTTTTCAACGAATATAAACCAAGTTATTATATATAAAGTAGAATTTTTTTTAGTATAAGCTTTTTTGTTTTTAATTTAATTTTTATTTTTTTGAGTTGGAGTCTCATTCTGTCGTCCAGACTGGAGTGCAGTAGCACGCTCCCAGCCACCGCAGCCTCGACCTGCTGGGCTCCGGAGATCCTTCCGCCTCAGCCTTCCAAGTAGCTGGAACTACAGGTGCACGCTACCATGCCCGGCTATATTTTTAATTTTAAAGATGTGGGGTACAATTCAGGGTTAGCAACGTAAGTGGGCATTGTACAGGTGAAGTTTGGGCCTCCCATTAGTCCTCTTTTTGCCTGGTTTGAGATCAGATATCCTTATTAGTGTTATGTGCTCCCCCTCCCCTCTCCTGGCAGTTTCTCACCACTGCCAATCCCTTTCTTATAGTATTATGATAAATGTTCACGGACCACTTATGAGTGAGAACATGTGGTACTCAGTTCTTTGTTTCTGTGATAGGTCACTGCGTATGATGGACTCTAAATCCATCCAAGTTGCTGTGAAGTCCATAAAAAAGTAGAATTTAAATATACAGTCCTTTAAAAATAATTTTGTGGGTAGTTGCATGATGATATCAAGACAGCAGAGAAAGAAATAACTCATGAGGTAAAAGTGGATTTAGTGTGTTGGCTTTCTTTTTAGTTGGAGTCTCACTCTGTCACCCAGGCTGGAGTGCAGTGGCATGCTCACAGTTACCATAACCTCAACTTGCTGCTGGGCTCAGGCGATCCTTCCGCCTCAGCCTTCCAAGTAGCTGGAACTACAGGCGTGCGCTACCACGCCCGGCTAATTTTCTGATTTATTATAGAGATGAGGTCTCGCCAAGTTGCCCAGGCTGGTCTCGAAACCGTGGGCTCAGGCAATCCTCTTGCCTTGGCCTCCTAAAGTGCTGGGATTACAGGCAAGAGCCACGGCACCCAGCCTGGTTTTCTTAAAAAAAGTTGTGTAACCTCTGACAAGCTGTTTTGCGTTTCTGGATCTTATTTCCTTATTGAAAATTTGGGAACTGGATTGGATGGTTCCTTTCTGACCTCCTCCCGTGAATACAATTACTTCCCTAAGAGATCTAGAATCAGAATAGTTTCAGGGTTTCCCCTGCTTTTTCCAAAACCAAGTCATTCCTTCTTCTTGCTAGTCTCCATAATCTCTAATTTCTTCTATTATATCACCAAAAACAAAAAAAAGAAAATGTTTACATAAGCAAATACATTCTTCAAAGTGGAACTGGTCAATCAAAAAGCTGAAGTGATTGATATTAGAAAGGAGAGCAAACAGATGAAAAGAGAGCAAACTTCTGCATGGAGTACCCAAAGCAGAAGGAGTCCATTGCTACAAGGGGGAAGAGGACAGTGGAAGAAAATAAACGTGGAAGACTTCAAAATGTTTGCTCAATGACTTAAACCAGGCAGAGAAGCTCTCCTCTGAGAAGGCATTTTTGTTAAGCATAAATGATTTATTTTTAATAATAGTATACTAATAATTGTATAGGTGTCATTGTTGTTAAGCATAAATGATTTATTTTTAATAATAGTATAGGTGTCATTTTATTTTACTTTATTTTATTTTGAGTTGGAGTCTCACTCTGCCGCCCAGACTGGAGTGCAGTGGCCGCTCCCGGCCACCGCAGCCTCGACCTGCTGGGCTCTGGCCATCCTTCCGCCTCAGCCTTCCGAGTAGCTGGAACTACAGTAGCTGGAACTACAGGCGCGCACTACCATGCCCGGCTGATTTTTTGATTTATTGTAGAGATGAGGTCTCACCAAGTTGCCCAGGCGGGTCTCGAACCCGCAGGCTCAGGCGCGGGATTACAGGCTGAGCCACCGAGCCCGGCATAGGTGTCATTTTAAAGATTATTTAGATATTAGAAACCAGAGATGGTATCAAAATAATTTTTGTGTTGACTCAAACACAGGTCTGTCTTATTTTTCAAAAAGGAAACATTTTAAAGAAATTACCAAAAATATACACCAGCATATGAAACACTTAATTCTTGGTCAGTTTCTACTTCCATTTTACCTATCTGAGGTCTGAGATTACAGTTGGTATTAAAAATACCTTAAGACTGAAAAAATCCCCCATAGGAATCTGTTTCTAAAAATTCAGAAACCCTCAGTATGAACAGAAAACCTTACCCAAAATTTAAAACTTAGTAGGATCTCCACCCAACCTCACCCTTGACATCTGCCCTCCTGTTCTGGGAGTTGCAGATGCGAGCACCATTAAAACTGATTTTGAATACTATTAAGCTATTGCAGTGGAAGCTATTCTTATATTTTCTGAGAAAAACCCACAGTACTTTATTGCATGCAATGATTAGCTCAGAACAGAATAATTAGAATTATGAATATGTAACAAGTATCATATTCATTTCATAAACCAGTTTCATAATATTAACTCCATGCCATCTTTATCTCTCCTGTTCACTGAGGTATTCAAAACACCAGAAGAGTGGTGTGAAATAAATTCAATATTTGTTGAATGAAAGAATGGATGTTACACATTACAAACATCATAATAAATTTTAGTTGTAAGTTATAATCACTGGTATTTGAAGTCATATATATTCTAAAGGCACTGGAATCCTAATAGTTTATTTCTTCATCTGTTTCACTCATTACCAGTGATATATGTCCTATGTTCTGAAAACATTATGCTAAAATATACTGCTGCTGCTATTAATTACACTTCAATTGATCACTTATTCTGTGTCATTCTTCTGAGCACTTCATATACAATTAATGCATACTCAGAACAACCTGAGTTAGATATTTTATTACTGGTTGTCTCATCCCAGTTTGCCTGGGGTAGTCCTGGTTTAAGCTTGTTGCTCCAGCTTAACTAAAATTTAAGTGTCTCTCTCACTTTCAAAAGTATCCTGGTTTGGATTGGCAGCAGTGGGAAAATGCCAGGGGAGGGTGGGGGCAGAACTGGCAGTAGTGGGAAACTGCCAGGAGGCGAAGGGGCATACCTCATCAACAAAGGTACCTGCATAATGAACATTTGTATACCTAACCCTGAACTGTATCCCACATGTTAAAAAACAAAACAGGGGGAGAGGGATTTGAAGAAAAATTAAAAAACAAAAACCCCCCAAAACCTCAAAAGTATCCTGGTTTGAATGATAAATTATGTGTCCATATTAGTTATCATTTTAATTTAATAGATAAATTGAGACACAGAGAATGGACTTAAATACAAGCAGTCGGCCTTAAGTCCATACACTACACTAACACTACAAACTTGCAGTCTGCCATGCCTTACTTTTGCAAGGCAATTGTTCATAAAGCTAGCAGAACAAAATAAAGTAAGAACACAATGGGTCAGGCGTGGTGGTTCATGCCTGTAATCCCAGCTCTTTGGAAGGCAGAAGCGAGAGGATTGAGTCTGCAGGTTTGAGACCAGCCTGGGCAACATGGCAAGACCTCGTCTCTACAATAAATCAAAAAATTAGCCTGGTGTGGTGGCATGCCTGTAGTTCCAGTTACTTGGAAGGCTGAGGTAGAAGGATCACCTGAGCCCAGATGGTTGAGGCTGTAGTGGCTGGCCATGAGCAGTGTGCCACTGCACGGAAGGAAGGAAGGAAGGAAGGAAGGAAGGAAGGAAGGAAAGAAGGACACAGTGAAATGATGCAGTTAATGCTAAAGTCATAATGGAAGGATAAAAAAGATTACTCTCAGGTTTGGAGAATTTAGTATAAACAATAATGTGTGAGGGAACATGAGTGTGAGAGTATTGTCTGTGGGTTTTTGTTCTTTATTATAAGGGTGATCTTATTTTATTTTTAAAAATTATTTATTATTTTTTAAATTATTATTTTTTACATGTATAAAGTTATGGGGTACAAGTGCAATTTACATGCATAGATGGTGTAGTGGTGAACTCAGGGCTTTTAGGGTATCTATCACCTGAATAACATAATTGTATCCCATAAGTCATTTCTCATCATCCACCCCCGTCCACCTCCTCGAACTTCTGAGTCTCCACAGTCTATTTCCTGACTCTATGTCCACGTGTGTAGATTTCTTAGTTCCCACTAATAGGTCAGAATATGCGATGTTTGTCTTTCTGTATCTGGACTGTTTCACTTAAGGTAATAGCCTCCAGTTCCATCCATGTTGCTATTGAAGACATGATTTCATTCTTTTATGGGTGAACAGTATTCCATTGTGTATATATACACTACATTTTCTTTACTTTTTTTTTTTTTGAGTTGGAGACTCACTTTGTCACCCATGCTGGAGTGTAATGGCATGTACGCTCATGGCCACTGCAGCATCGACCTATTGGGCTCAGGCGATCCTTCTACCTCAGCCTTCCAAGTAGCTGGAACTATAGGCATGCACCACCATGCCCAGTTAATTTTTTGATTTATTGTAGAGATGAGGTTTCACTATGTTTCCCAGGCTGGTCTCAAACCCCTGGGCTCAGGCAAACTTCTCGCTTTGGCCTCCCAAAGTACTGAGATTACAGGCTTGAGCCACCACGCCTGGCCCACATTTTCTTAATTATTATTATTTTTTTAAGTAGGAATCTCACTCTGTTGCCCAGGCTGGAGTGCAGTGGCACGCTCATGGCTACTGCAGCCTGGACTGCTGGGCTCAAACAATCCTTCCACCTCAGCCTTCCAGGTGGCTGGAACTACAGGTGTGTGTCACTAAGCCTGGCTAATTTTTAATTTATTTATTGTAGAGATGAGGTCTCACCAAGTTACCCAGACTGCTCTCGAACCCCTGGGCTCAGGTAACCTTCTTGTCTCCACCTCTCAAAGTGCTGGGATTACAGGAGTGAGCTACTGCATCCGGCCTATACCACATTTTCTTTATCCAATTATCCATTGATAGACACTTAGATTGACTCCCTATCTCTGCTATTGTGAATAGTGCTGAGATAAACATATGAGTGCAGGTATCTTTTTGATAATAATGATTTCTTTGCATTTGGGTAGATACCTAGCAGTGGGATTGCTGGATCGAATGATAGTTCTTTTTTTAGTTCCTTGAGAAATCTCCATACCGTTTTTTTTTTCTTTTTTCTTTTTTTTTTTTGAGTTGGAATCTCACTTTGTTGCCCAGGTTGGAGTGCAGTGGCACACTCACGGCCACCCCAGCGTTGACCTGCTGGACTCCGACAATCCTTCTGCCTCAGTCTTCCAAGTAGTCAGAACTACAGGCGTGCGCTACCACACACATCTAATTTTTTGATTTATTGTAGAGATGAGGTCTCGCCAAGTTGCCCAGGCTGGTCTTGAACCTGTAGGCTCAGGCAGTTCTCTCACCTCAGCCTCTCAAAGTGCTGGGATTATAGGCATGAGCCACTGTGCTCAGTCTGAGCACTTTTTCATATACGTGTTGGCCATTTGTATGTCTTCTTTTGAAAAATGTCTATTTATATCCTTTGTCCAGTTTTTGATGGGACTGTGTTTTTTTGTTGATTGTTTCAGTTCCTGTATATTCTAAATATTATACCTTTCTATAAGGGTAACTTTAAATAAGGGTATCTGAAATAATTCTTGCTCTACCTAAAATAGTTGTTCATAAAAAATTTCAAACTAGGGCAAATAAAATTGGTAACAAAATTCAAAGTTCAATGTAAAGAAAATCTCTAGAGATAAAAAATTTTAAACAAATTCTGAGAAAAGCTATTTTGGAGGGATATATTGGAAGGTGGGCCCCTTGCAGTACAGGCTTCTCCACCTAGGTAAGTGTTCTAGGAACCCATCAGCATCAGTGTACTAGCTAGCATTGTTGTGAGAGGTGTTTGGCTTCAGTGAATTTTTTTGGGGAGATTCTTTCAACACATTTTGCCCATTTCATGATGAGTGATATACAAACACCTCTGCCCACGCTGTGCTGAGTGTTCAGCCATTTTTGACCAGAAATGGCATAACCCCTATGCCCCACCCTCCCTATTCACCTGACCTTGTTCCAAGTGACTTTTTTTTTGTTGTTTCTCTATGAAAAAAGTTATCACAGGGAAACATTTTACCAATGTGGAAGAGGTAAAACAAAAAACGGCAGAAGCACTAAAAGGCATCAAAATTGGCGAGTTCAAAAAACTGTTTTGAGCAGTGGAAAAAGTGTCTCAATAGGTATATTCCATCAAACAGAAAGTACTTTGAAGGTGACTAAAGTTTAAACACGTAAGAATAAATACACCATTTTTAATAAATAAATTTCAGGGTTTTTTTGGGGGGGATCTCCCCTCATATGCATACACATATGACTACAGAAGCTATGAGATTAATACTCTAGTTTAAGACACAATTGGAGAATAATAGTGTCATGACTGTGGTTGAATTGGTGGGATGCTAGTTTGAGAGGTCCTAAGACCTTATTTCTTCATTGCCTGCTTGTTGGTTAGCAGATGGGGTCCCAACGCTCAACTAGAAGGCAAAATGCTTCCTTCCTTATTCCTTTCTTCTATAAATCCTTGCCTGTCTATTCTCTTGAATTACTAAGTAGAAAGTTAGTACGAAGGGGAAGGCAATGAAACTCCAGGAACATCACATCTTTGGAAATGCACTGATGTTTATAAATTGCACCTAAAATTAAAATAGGGTATATTATGAAAATAATGGAAAAGTCCGACTACTGGAAGCCTGGTGGCCTTTCCCAAGCCTTTCCCAAGGCCTTTGGGGTACTCGAGGATATGGGAGACATATCCTCAAGACATGCTCTAGTTCAGACCCCAATTTCTTTTGAATGAAGCTGAAACATCTAGAGCAGAAGGTATGGCTGTAGGTGTGGAAAGCTCCCTACTGTCCTGATCCCCAAATCTCTTTTTGCTTTTAACACCCAAAGATGAATTTGACTAATTCTCTAGAAAAATGAGGTTACATAAAATTTCTAAAAAATGGAAAAATCAAATGCTTCCCAAATCTGAAAAGAAATTATAGTGGCCACGCTCGGTGTCTCAGCCTGTAATCCCAGCACTTTGGGAGGCCGAGGTAAGTGGATTGCCTGAGCCCGTGGGTTCCAGACCTGCCCGGGCAGCTTGGCGAGCCCTCATCTCTACAATAAATAAAAAACTAACTGGGCGTAGTAGTGCGTGCCTGTAGTTCCAGCTACTTTGAAGGCTGAGGCAGAAGGATCGCTGGAGCCCAGCAGGTCGAGGCTGCGGTGGCCGGGAGTGTGCCATTGCACTCCAGCCTGGGTGACAGAGTGAGACTCCGACTCAAAAAAAAAAGAAATTATGGTGCTAGAAATATTAAAATTATTCAGGTAACTCTGGCAAATCAATAAGTAGAATTCCATACATTTGATACTCTGCTGAAAAAGTCACATTCCTGACAGACTCACTGCTCCAGTTCCACTTCAGGACATAGGTGTCATCTACGATGTCAACTTCTACATCTTGAGGAGATGTTAGATGTTTTCCACCTATAAAGGCAACAAGAAAGAAGATAATTATACATACATTGTACAGATATTCTAAATGCTACTCTTCCCCTCATGTCTCTGATTAAAGAATGCATACAGTGAAATATGCTAAAATATATTCTAAAAATAAAAAATAGTAATGATTGCTCTCAGCACAGGAAGGCTGCTAATTATATTTTTGCCACTGAGAGACCTGGAAAAAAGGTTGAGGTTTTTCATCTATAAAGAAGAGTTTTTTAAAACATAAAAACTGTTTCTGTATAAAAATAGAATTTATTTTTGGTCTTAGACGTGATACTGATGAGCCGGGCACAGTGGCTCACGCCTGTAATCTCAGCACTTTGGGAGGCGTAGGCGAGAGGTTTGCCTGAGCCCATGGGTTTGAGACTAGCCTGGGCAACTTGGCGAGACTTGGTGTCTACAATAAATAAATTAAAAAATTAGCTGAGTGTGGTGGCGTATGCCTGTAGTTGCAGCTACTTGGAAGGGCAATGCAGAAGGATCACCTGAGCCCAGCAGGTTGAGGCTGCGGTGGCTATGAGTGTGCCACTCCACTCCAGCCTGGGTGACAGAGTAAGACTCCGACTCAAAAAAAAAAAATTATACTGCTGTAAAGAGGATATGGCTGTTCATCTGTTGAACAGCCTCAATTTGGTTTCACATTCTGAGTTCAGAGAATACAGATGCTGCTTCTTTTTTTTTTTGAGTCGGGCAACAGTCATTCCGCTGCCAAGGCTGGAGTACAGTGGCATGATCACTACTCACCATAGCCTTGACCTCCTGGGCTCAGGCGATCCTTCTGCCTCAGTCTCACAAGTATCTGGGACTACAGGTGCGTGCTGCCACACTTGGCTAATTTTGCTATTTTTTGTAAGGATAAAGTCTTGTTAGGTTGTCTAGGCTGGTCTCAAGTTCCTGGGTTCAAGCAATCCTCCCCTCTCGGCCTCCCCAAATCCTGGAATTATAGGCATGAACCTCTATGCCTGGTGAGACTTCTTGACTTACAATGGCATTAAGTCCTTATAAAAACCACTGCATGTAAAAAATATTGTAAGCCAAAAATGTGTTTAATACTCTGATAAATTCATTGTAAAGTCAAAAAATGATCAGCTGAAACATAAGTTAGGGACCATGTGTACTTCATATACTGACAGAGAACTGAACAGATGTGATTTCAGCTGTTTACAGGAACAGAATATTCATAACAAAATTGAAAGAGAGAAGTATGAATAATTGTTGTTAGCAAGTCCTCCAGGAACCTACAAAGATCTGACTGCTGACCACGTCAAGTCTGAAAGCTTCTGTTTATTTTTAAGGATGTCCATCTATGGCGCTACCTTACTTCTTTCTACTCATAACACACATCTTCTCCCAGTTGAATTACCTCCCTCCTCAGTTTTCCTCATTTTTCCCACAACCTGCAATGCACTTCTGCTCTTCTCTGACCACCCAAATCCTCCAAGATCTGACTCAAGTTTGGCAGTTCTTGGAAAATCTCATGGTGATCTTGCTGTTCTCTTACAGTTGGTATCATTTAATCTGTACCACTCAATTTCACACAGTAGATGTACTCAGCTCTCAAATACTTGTTGAATGCAAGATGTAGCTTTTTAAATTTTATGTGTACTGTGTAAAATAGACATGACATAAAATTTACCATCTTAATAATTTTTAAGCATACGGTCAATGGTATTAAATACACTCATGATGTGCAACCATCACCACCATCTATTTCCATAACTTTTTTTTATCTTGTCAAACTGAAATTCTATACCCATTAAACAATAACTTCTCATTGCTCCCTCCCCTATCCCCAGGCACCCACCATTATACTTTGTCTCTATGATTTGGACCATGTTAACTAACTCATATAAGTGGAATCATAAAATCTTTTTGGGACTGACTTATTTTATTTAGTATAATGTTCTCGAGGCTTGTATATACTGCAACAAATGTCAGAGTTTTCTTTTCTTTAAGGCAGAATATTCCCTTATATTTATATATCATATTTTGCTTATCCATTAAGCTCCCCCATTTAGCTCCTACATTTAGCTACCATGAATAATGCTGCTATAAACATAGATATACAAATACCTCTTTGAGACTCTGTTTAATTCTTTTGGGTATCTACCCAGAATTGGAATTGTTGGATCATACGATAATTTTATGTTTACATTTTTGAGAAAATGTCATACCATTTTCCACAGCAGCTGTACATTTTATATTTCCACCAACAGTGCACAAGGGTTCTGATTTCTTACAAGCACTTATTTTACTTTTTTGAAAGTAGTCATTCTCATGAGAGTAAAGTGTATCTCACTGTAGTTTCAATGTGCATTTCTGTAATGATTAGTGATGCTGAGCATCTTTTCATGTGCTTACTGATTTGTATGTTTTCTTTGGAAAAATGTCTATCCAAGTTCTTTGCCCATTTTGAATAAGGTTTTTAAAATTTATTGTTGAGTTTTAGGAGTTCTCTATGTATTCTGGACATTAGTCCCTTATCTGACATACAGACTGCAAATATTTTTCCCATTCTGTGAGATGCCCTTTTATTTTGTTGAGAGCGTCCTCTATTTCCACACTTATCTTCTATTTAATTTTTCTATTCATTTTTGAGAAGGGGATACTGAAGTCTCCAATGATTATTGTAGAATTGTCTCCTTCTTCCTTGAATTCTGCCAGTTTTTTGCTTCACATGTTTTGATGGTTTGTCATTAGGAGCATATATGTTTGTAACTGTTACATCTACTTGCTGTATCAAACCTTTTATTAATATATGAAATATTTGTCTCTTGTTACTTTTTTTGATTTAAAGTCTATTTTGTCTGATATTAGTATAGCCACCCCTGCTATCTTTTCATACTATTTCCATACCATATATCTTCTTCTATCCTTTCACTTTTCAATCTATGTCTTTAGATCTAAAATGAATCTCTTGTAGACAGAATATAGTTGAACCATGTGTTTTTATCCATGTGTCAATGTGCCTTTTGAATGGAGTTTACTCCATTTAAAGTCATCACTAATAATGAACTTCCTTCTGCTATTTTGCTATTTTCTAGGTATCTATAGTTTTTTGGTCCCTCATCTCCTGCATTACTGTCTTCTTTTGTGTTTAGTTGACTTTCTGTAGTAAAAGTTATAATTTCTTTCTCATTTCCTCTGTGTATATTCTGTAGGTGTTTTCTTTGTAGTTACCATGGGAATTACGTTTGACATTTTAAGGTTATATAATACTCTAATTTACACTTATACCAGCTTAATTTTAATAACACCCCGCACCCTGCTGTTTCATAGCCATATCCACCCCTTTCAGTTGTTGCCACAAAATTACATCTTTTACAAACATATGAACCCAACATATAATTAAATGCATTGATCTCTTATATTATGTAGAAAACAAAATGTGGAATAACAAAGTAAAAATTTTTACTTTAAAATGTTTTTAGGCTAGGCATGGTGGCTCATGCCTATAATTCCAGCACTTTGAGGGGCCGAGGTGAGAGGATTGTCTGAGACCATGAGTTAGAGACCAGCCTGGGCAACTTGGTGAGACCTCATCTCTACGATTAGAAAATAGGAAAAGGCTGGGCGCAGTGGTTCACGCCTATAATCCCAGCACCTTGGGAGGTTGAGGTGAGAGGACTGCCTGAGCCCATGGGTTTGAGACTAGCCTGGGCAACTTGATGAAACTTCATCTCTATAATAAACCAAAAAATTAGCCAGGCGTGGTGGCGCGTGCCTGTAGTTACAGCTACTTAGAAGGCTGAGGCGAAAGGATCACCTGAGCCCAACAGGTTGAGGCTGTGGTGGCTGTGACTCCACTCAACAGTATACAATCATGGTGTAATATCACCTACCTGAAATAGCTACTGCACTCCACCTCGGGCAGTGACTGAGACTATGACTCAAAAAAAAAAAAAAAGTTTTAAACATTTTAAGATAAATAGTTTTAAACTAAAATTTATTTAAAATGTTTTATTTTCTTAAATCATGTAGTAGAAGTCTCAGAATATTGGTAAAACAAAATTCTGCCAGTTTTTATAATTGCCCATGTATTTACCTTTCCCAAGATCTTTATTTCTCCATACAGCATTGAGTTACTATCTAGCGTCCTTCTATTTCACCTATCAGGACTCCCTTAAGCATTTCTTGCAGGGCAGGTCTAACAGTAATGAACTCCCTTAGCTTTTTGTTTTAATTGCCCCTCACTTCTGAAGGACAGTTTTGCTGGATGTAGGATTTTGGCTTGACAGTTTGTTTTCTTTCAGCACTTTGAATAGACTGGCCTATTTCTTCTGGCCTCCAAAGTTTTAGATAAGAAATCTGCTCATCATCTTATTTAGGATCCCTTCTATGTGATGAGTGGGTTCTCTGTCTTGGCTTTCAGAAGTTTTATTATAATGCGTCTTGGTGTGGGTCTCTGAAAGAGAGTTCATTTTACTTGGGGTTCATTGATCTGTTCAATGCTGAGAGTGTGGTGTTGAAGTTCCTTAATATAACTGCATTAGAGTCTACCTCCTCCTTTAGCTATAATAATACTTTCTTTACATATCTGGGTGCTACACGGTTGGATGCATATATGTCTAAACTGTTATATCTTCTTGTTGAATCGATATATTTATCATTATATTTGTCTTATTTGTCTCTTTTTGTAGTTTTTGACTTAAAAAGTCTGTTTTACCTGACATAAGTATAGCTACTCTTGCGGGCTTTTGACTTCTGTAGAATAACTTTTCCATCCCTTCACTTTCAGTCTAAATATGTCTTTAGAGATGAAGTGCATTTCTTGTAGGTCGCATATAATTGAGTCATTAAAAAAATCCATTCAGCCAGTTTCTATAAGTGGGGAATTTAATCAATTTACTTTTAAGGTTTTTATTGACAGATGAGGAGTTACACATCACTTCATTTGTTTTCCGGTTGTTTTGTATATCCTTTGTAACTTTCTTCCTCTCTTATTGTTTATTATCGTGATTTGGTGGTTTTCTTTCTTT